AATAATAATAATAATAATAATAATAATAATAATAATAATAATAATAATAATAATAATAATAATAATAATAATAATAATAATAATAATAATAATAATAATAATAATAACAACAACAACAACAACAACAACAACCACCACCACCAACAACAATAACAATAACAACAATAACAATAAGAACAACAACAACAATAACAATAACAGCAGCAACAACAGCAGGAAGAAGAAGAAGAAGAAAGAAGAAGAAGAAGAAGAACCACCACCACCACCACCACCACCACCACCACCACCACCACCACAACCATTTATTCCTGTACAGAGCAGTCATTGTGGAACACCTATATTGTTTCCATCATTCCTGAAGCTGTATTATGATAGGTGTGATACAAGTCCTATAACAAAGCAGCTGTTACTGCAATAAATGAACCTCTTCCTCTTCTCAAAATGGGGGAGGAAGCATGCCAGAAGGTGGTACACGTGCAAGTTGATGTTCTGATCTGCAAAACCTTCACTCTGGGCACTGAAAACAATCCCGTTGGGTCTGCTGGGAGCGGGTTGCAAGATTAAATGCAGGCGTAAGGCTCTGTGAGGTCTGGAGCCCGCAAATCCTTCAGGGTGTTCAGAAGCCCCGCAGGCCTGCGAGTCACTTCACGCCTCGTCCCCCTCGGTGGTGCCAGCTGGATCCACCCTGGGCTGCTGTTGGGAGCAAGTTATCGCCGAAGGGAGTCAGAGGGGACAGCGACCTGCTCAAGGCTGGAGGTAAGTGCGTGCCCCATTTGTTTGTACCAAAACAGCAAGAGACCGAACGTTCACCAAGCAGAAAGCAGGGACGCAGCTACACAGCTCACATAAATAGGAGTGGCTTCGGTGGTGTGACATGTTGTTACAGGGATTTGCATTTCCTGCTGGAAATTTCTCTGGGAGACTGTCCATGGCTGCTCTGCTCTGCCTTTTTTATTTTTTTGGTTATAGAAGAAGAATGAATTTTAAACACTTGATGGTATCCTTTTCAAAAGGAAATAAGCTTTTACTTTGTCATTATATTTTCTAAATTTTCAAGTGCGTCTGTCCTTGAATTTAGCTCTAATGTCTGGATTCATTCCATTTTTTCTTTCCCTAAAGACAAAATAGGCACTGCAGTGAGGAGCCCCGTTCCCCATGGAGCACGCTATTTATCCAACATATATAAAAATCATACACGTTCCTTTTCCCGGTTCAGTAAAGGTGGCCGGTCCACCTTGGCAATGGCCAGTAAATGAATGTCACAGATGGAAAATTTAGGCAACGCATCATGATCCGAGCCCACGTAGATGTCACACGCACGCTTCTCTTCCTGCCTCAGGGCTTCTAAGGTTAGATCATCTCTGACTAACGCCTCCAAATACAGCAGTTCCATCCTCAAAATATCTTCCTGGGATCCTTTTTTACCATAAACTAATTCAGCTGTTTTGACTATCAAACAATTGCCAGCCTAAAATTCTACTGATTGAGTGGACTTTCCTATCTGACCTAAGAAAGACACTGGGACAAATTACGTGTACCAGTTAAGGAGCTATTTTCAGCTGCGTGGACCAACTATTACATTAATGCTAACTTCATTAATTCACTTTGGAAAGTGCTTTGAGAAGGAAACCTGAAGGGTAACCTCTGATTTGCCTTTCATACTGTTCATTTGCATTTGTTTCACCATGAATCTTGCTTCTATTTGTCTTGCGGTTCAGAAAGACCTATTTTTCCAGGCCTGAACTCTGCAGCAGGGTCAGACATTATCTCACCTGGACAGATGAACCTCATGCTCTTTAATAACATTGTAAAAGTGAGTGCTTTCAGCTTGGAGGGAGGGGAACGCCTTTCTGACTACAGATAATATAATCGTTGTGAAACGATACATGCAATAATCGGGCTATGCTCTGCTAATTGATTCGGGATGTAAATTAATCCACGGAGGTGGTTAAAGTGGCGACGTTAGGGCTGAACTAGCGGTGTGCCAGCACCCAGACGGGATCCAGCTCGCTCTATGGCTGCAAAATGTACAGTGAAGTCAAGTTGACCCTATTGTAGTGGAAAGTCCTTGAACTGAAAATTGTTAGGGGCTGGACAACTACTTTGGGAAAATGTCTCGTGCCTGCTCTGTTCTTGTGCTCTGCCCTAGGCATCACTGTTCAACCACTGTCAGAAACAGGATACTGAGCTACACAGACCTCCGTCTGCCCCAGTCTGTCTGCTTTTATTTTCTTAAATATTCTTGAATTCTCTCAGGAAAAGGTTCTCCACAGAGAGGGTGGTCAGTCACTGAACCGGCTCCCCGGGGAAGTGGTCACGGCACTAAGCCTGTCAGCGTTCAAGGAGCATCTGGAAGATGCTCTTGGTGATATGATTTAATTTTAGGTAGTCCTGCGAGGAGCAGGGGGTTGGACTCCATGATCCTTATGGGTCCCTTCCAACTTGAGAGATTCTATGTGCCTGCTCCCATGCTTGAGCAAAAGGGGGGAGTCAGGATCATTAGTTATGGGGAGAGAAAGAAGGCAGCTGCCCTTTCAGCACAAGCCTTCAATTAAATTAGCTTAATCTGAACACAAAAGTGCAGGAGAACCTTGGTACATTTTATTTTACTTTGTGCAGACTAGAAGTGGAGCTTCACCAGAGGATGAGGGAGATCACTGCCAACAAAAAGGGCAACTTACCCCTTTCCGTTCTGCCATTTCCAGCGTTTGATCACTGTCTCCCCTGGCCAAATCTGTTTGGTATGCCAATGCCAGAAATAGTTAATGTTCTGTGAAATTAGTGGCTCTCTGAGAGGTTGAATGGTGCCAGACCCTGGGTGAAGCCCTGGAAAGCAGCGCCCAGGTGCATGGTGTCAGCTAGCTGATAGAGCAGCTCAGCTATTTCACGTAGCTTCAGACTGTGCACACAATTCAGCTCAGGTGACAGGCAATAACTTTTTAAGCTGTTTTAACTTAATTACTTTGATCCATGTGGCCATACTAAGGCCAAAATCATCATTCCCAAGACATCCTTTGCTATATTGAAACCTATCTTCACAAAAGGCAGATCGTGCCTGACAAATCTGGTGGCCTTCTACGATAAAGCGACCTGCTTCGCTGACATGGGACGAGCTGTCGACGTTGTCTACTTGGACTTCTCCAAGGCCTTCGATACGGTTCCCCATGGCCTCCTCTTGGACAAACTGATGCGTTATGGCCTGGACAAGTGGTCTGTGCAGTGGGTGAGGAATTGGCTGACGGGCCGCACCCAAAGGGTGGTGGTAAATGGCTCTTTTTCAAACTGGCAACCCGTCACCAGTGGTGTCCCCCAGGGATCGATATTGGGCCCAACGCTACCCAATATCTTCATAAGCGATCTGGATAACGGGATCAAGTGTAGCCTGATGAAGTTCACAGATGACACCAAATTGAGTGGGGAAGCAGACGCTCTGGAAGGGAGAGCCACCCTGCAGGAAGATCTGGATAGGCCGAAGAGTGGGCTAACAAGAACCTTATGAAGTTTAACAAAGACAAGTGTAACGTCTTGCACTGGGAAAACATAATCCAGGAGTGCAGCTCAGACCTGCATCCACCTGGCTGGAGAGCAGCTCCGTGGAGAGGGACCTGGGGGTCCTGGTGGGCAGGAGGCTCAACATGAGTGAGCAGTGTGCTGCTGCGGCCGAGAAGGCCAAGAGGAGGCTGGGTTGCGTCAAAAAGGGCATCGCCAGCAGAGATAAAGAAGTCATTATCTCTCTCTACTCGGTGTTTGTCAGGCCACACCTGGAATACTGTGCACAGTTCTGGTCCCTGCTATACAAAAAAGATGTGGTCAGGCTGGAGGGGGTCCAGAGAAGGGCCACCAAGATGCTCAAGGCTCTGGGCAGCCTGCCGTATGAGGACAGGCTGAGAGAGCTGGGCTCGTTCAGCCTTCAGGAAAGGAGGCTTAGAGGTGATCTCATCTCCATGTACCAGTACTTAAAGGGCAGCTACAAAGAAGATGGAGACTCCCTTTTTACAAGGAGTCCCATGGTGAGGACAAGGGGTAACGTACAAGTTACTCCCAGGGAGATTCCAATGGGACACGAGAGGGAAATTTTTCACAACGAAAACAGTCAATCATTGGAATAATCTCCCCAGGGAAGTGGTTGACTCTGCTACGCTGAACACGTTTAAGACTCAGCTGGACAGGGTGCTGGGCCATCTCATCTAGACTGTGCTAGAAAGGTTGGACCAGCTGGTCCTCGAGGTCCCTTCCAACCTGGGATTCTATGATTCTATGATCTCTTTTATGAGAAGTGGCACTAAAATTTTTAAAGACCCAGCTTGATTATTGTATTATTTTCGTTGCATTAAAATAAATCAGCAAGGGATTAATACTTAGCATTTGTCAAAATCCAGTAATGCACAGCAGCACTGCAGGCTCAGAAAAGCGTGCCTCTTGAAGTGTCTAATTGTACCCTATCCGTCTGCTAGCTTTGAGTGTTTCATTTTCCTGAGATAGCTGCTTCTCAGCAGGGTTACTGTTCAGAGAGTGGGAACCTGGGTGTTAAGTTGGTCCCAAATAAAGATCAAAGATCTCAAAAGCCTGAAGTGAAGCAGTACCAGAGTGGGTAACATATCCAGCGGCTCACAGCTTCTCCGACAGCAGAGTGCTGGATCCCAGCTGCGTGCGCAAGGCGGCGGGGGCTGAGAGCAGAGACTCAGTGCCACAAACCCGGAGATCGCGTAGCCCCAGTGGCCGCACCAGGAGTTTCTAAGCAGCAGCAGCTGCTCCAGTGACCGGTGGGACTAGGTAGTCCTTGTCCGGGACTGCTGTACCTCACCACTTGCTGTTGGGGTTTTTGCTGGACTTCCACTGTGTTTATTTTTTTGCATACGTTTCTGCTTGACCTGGGTTGCCGTCTTGATCAGATGTAATGGGCCCTAGGGCTGCTGCAGAAGGAGAACTGGATGTTCAGATCAGGCGTCCTCTAAGAGACCTGGAATGCCTCCCGGTGCTACTCGTCGCTAGCGTAATCGAGGGTTCAGAGTGCGTGGGGAAGAATGGTGCTGTGAGTTTATGTAGTGCTGTAATTAGGTGTGCTTCTATTCAGGTTAAAGCCTGTAAAACAGGTATGTGTTAAACACCTTGCCTGTGAAAGTGCCACTGCCTTAAAGAAACGCAAAGCCAAGGACAAAGCCTCGACGTGGTAAGGTAGTGAGGTGTTCGTGCAATGTTCGTAAATTAGGAACAGCCTACTGTTATTCTTCAGGCTAGAAATGGCAAAAGGGAGAAGGGCAGGGGGGGAGAAGAAAAAAATAGTGGCCTACTGGGGTCAGTGCCTCCTCTCAGCCTTCTGAGGGTGAATTAGGCTGTGCCGTGTTCCTGAGGATAACCCATGGGTTGCTCTGATTGCCGGTATCCTCTATAGCGGCTCTTTCCTCACTCTAAAGGGTGGCAGTGGGAGGCTCTGCCAGCCCCTGTAGGAGACGCTTCGTGCTGGACGTTTCTGGAGTGATCAGGAGGCATTGCTGTGCTTCGAAGGGATCCCCTCCGAATTAACCTGGGATGCCTTCCTTGCTAGCCACAGGGCAGGCGAGGGACGCAGCCAGGCAGCTTCTGCAGCCTCAGAGTGTTCAAGACAGGTGAAAATCTTCAAGAGCTGAAAATAAAAGAAGAGCTTCTCGCTCTGCTACCTGTTTCTCTGCTGTGTAACGTCTCATGGAGAGGAGCTGATTTATGGAGTAGCTCTAATACAAACCACAGCCTGGCCATAGCTGCCTTAGTCTGAACAGTTTCAGCCACAGTTCAGCCTTAGCACTAGAAAGGGGTGAGGGACGAGATGAACTGTTTTCAGAGTTCATCCTGCTAAAGGATGGGCACAGGAACAAGCAGTTGTGGACTCAGGCTGTGCTGTGCTCTGCACTCCTCGTAAGGAGCCGAGGAGGTTTGTAGCAGCTCCTGCTCACGGGGAATTTGTTACAGCTCCTTTGCCTGCCCTAGAAGTACTTGCCGTGCTTTAAGCCACAGGCATCCTGAGTTCTTACGGCAACGCCTCACCAGTGGGTTAGTCCCTTTGCATGTTCAGACTGTTAATTTTGGGGGGAAGGGGCAGAGAGATTTAGAAAAGGGATGGGCAAAGACCGTGCTGGGGCACGGTGTGGGTGTTGCTGTGCGTGCTGTGGTTGGCTCGCAGGTTTGGGCTCCAACAGAACATGCAGACTCTGGGATGTGAGCAGAGACGGTGCGGTGTATTTAAAGATACCCTTGTGGCAGAGGAAACCTTTCTTGGGTCCCAGGTTGGAAAAGGATTTAGTAATCAGCCAGTCTGCATCTCTGTTGGTTCCTCACTGGCGTTTTTCAGGGAACGATTCAGCTGTGCTTGCTGCAGAGGTGGTGTCGGGGCAGGAGCACCCCAGGTCTGCCCTGTACTCGACGCTTGCTGTAGATCCTGCGGGAGAGCAAGCTGCAGCACTCTCACCGCTGGGAACGTGCTGAGGTTTGGGAGTCTGCCCTGTATGGCAGACTTTGCTAATCCCAGAAATCTGCCCTCAGGATTGCCCGGGAATAGCCTGAACCCTTTCTGTTCCCATCCTCTTACCATCTGGGAAGCCAAGTAATTTTTCCCAGTCTGATTTAGTTTCTTTAGTTTCAAAGCCAGCTTCAACCTTGTGGGTTTTCTGTGTGCGTATGTTACACTTTTGCCCGGAATAACTGTCTGAGCACGTGTTTGGATTTGAATATCCAGCCAAAGGCAGATCCTAGTGCTGGCAAACTGAAATTTGTGACGGAGAACTGTGTTAAATTTTAAAAGAAAGTCATTAACTCCCAAGCCAACCAGCTGAATGTGCAGTTTGCTGGAGACTGTAATAGAAATGCAGGTTAAGGTCAGTCCCCAGGGGTTTGAATGTTAAGAGGGAAGTTAGAAAGAGTTGGTACCTCGCTGTTGGGAGCCAGCAGAGAAGGGGGCCGTTGCACGCGCCACCGCCACCATCTCTTCCCAGCATGCCATTTAATTTGTAACTGCCCAGCACTGGAGCTCTGCTCCCTTGCGACATTTATATACTGGCTTTTTCCCCCTACTTTATGGTGGTGCCAAGGTCAAAGGCTCGTGGCAGCTAAATCACAGCTTGAGCGTAGGACACTGGTGCTTGGACCGTTGCTGGAGAGCGCGACCGTCCCGCGTGGGAGCCATGGAGCAGCTGGGAGAGCCAGGGCTCACACGTGAGTGCTCAGAGGATTCCTCTGCTTAGTTTGCAGTGCTGCTCTGTCTCCTGGGTGAAGGATGGATTATGACTGTGCAGGTGCCTGGTTATCACCACTGAACTCAGGGGAGATGAGGGGCTGTATCTCCCACATGCCCTTTGTGGGGTGTTGGAGATGCCCAGCTCCTTGTGGGATCATATATGACCTTGGGGCTCTCCGCTAGCACCTTATGCTGCAGGATGGAGCAGACTTGAATCTGCTGGGTTTGAGAGTTAGGAGTGATTTTTGCAGAGGCTGAGCCTCAAGCCCTCTGGGAGGAGGGTGTGGGGCACTCCCATGGCCTTGGAGTCCCATAGACACTCTTCTTTACTATTATTTTTTTTTTTTTATTTCGAAAAACCCTATGTAATGGGATTCCTTTACCCAAACCTGTGAGACTGCCTGCTTTAGAGAGACAGTGCATTTTGTTACTGTCCTGTTTGTCTTTCCTTTTGCCTCTTAAAAGCATTTTGCAATACAGACATGGAGAGGGGAGGCTTTGTGTGAGCCTGGGGAGCTCCTAGGAGCCAAGGTGGCATGTAAAACACCTCTCACCGCTGGCTGGGGAGAGCTGCAGGCTTGGCGGTGCCGGAGAGGAACAACACAAGCCGTGGTCTCGATGCTGTCGTGGGGATGTGTGGTGAAGGAGGGAAGGAATGGCACGGCTGGGTTGGTACACGCTCTGCTTTCATTAACAGAGGTTCAGCGTCTCCGGGACTGCAGAGTGGATTGTTTGCTTGTTCCCTCAGTAGGACTGCTTGGCGTTGCGTGATTGAGATGTGCTGTGCTGGTCATTGATAGCTGGGGATGCTCTGCACTGCAACATGCAACCCCAGACTGTATTTTTTTTCAGGGCCAAGTAAATTTGCTGGGATAAAGCTTTAATTGTGATGGGTGGCAGGTGGAGATGAGTGGGAACGTCAGCAAATGGATTCAGATGAACAAATGAAAAGTTTTTAA